ACATATACTTCAGTCACTCTTCATAAGGTTTTGAGTTATAGAAATGGTACTTTACAAGAAGTTGTTCGTCACTAAAATAACATTAGGTTCTTGCAATCTTTCAATAATGTCTGGTTCTTCAAATAATCTGAAGAACTTGGAGCACTCAGTCCGTCCCACAGAAATGGTGTCCGACATTATATTCGCGGAACCACTACTCTCATCTGTGATCTGATGCCGCAATTACGTAGCGTGGTGTTTCGACTAACTGCCGTTTGAAAAGCGACAGCACTGGCATCACAGACTGCCTCTAATAAACAAAACTGTAACCGTGTGTTTTGGCCTTCGGTCGTGAAAAGAGCAATGGAGCAACGTGCAAACATGAAGCTTTGTTTCAAAGTGGGTAAGAGTGTTGCAGAATCTTTTGAAATGATACGTGTTCAGGGTGTAAAGCAAAGAGTCATAACAACTTTTTTAAGTGGTATGAAAGATTTCGTGATTACAGAAAGAACATGGGCAGAAAGATCCGTTGTCGTTTTGTGCTCCACTCACTCACGGTCGATCAAAAACATTGCAGAGGGGAACACAGCGAAGACATGAAACGATCGATCGACGGAGACACATTCTTCCTGTCGTCCATCGTAACAACATAGTGTTTTCAGAAGCAGACATTTGCAAAGCGCTAGAACTCGGAATGAAAAGGTCCAATGTCAAAATACTGGTCGCAGTTTCCATTGATTTTAAAGTAATTATCAACAGTAAATTTGCTTCTGAAAGTCAAATGGTAAATGCACATTACTACTTGGCTGTTCTAATTCGTTTATGGGTGTGGATTGTTTGGGTGAGACCCGAATACCGCAACCAAGGAACATAGTGTTTGTTGCACGACAATGGTCCGGCGCACAAAAGCAAGATCATACGCCGACTCTTGGCTGGAAATGGTATCGTTGCGCTTAACCGCCGTCGTTCGTTGGATTTGGCTTTGTGCGGCGTATGGCTCTTTTTCAAACTGAAAGTGAAGATTAGAGAAAAGCGTTTCGACACTATTTGCGATATCCAGAAGGCTACGACAACGACCCTGCCGTTAGTTCGCGTTGTTGACTATCAGAATTGTTTTGTCGATCCTAAATCGATTCCTGTGGGACTCCACATGCAATTGGCGAAGAATCAGAAAAGCGTGTACATAATGATGTTCCATTATTCCAGTAAGGTATTTCTACTCTCTGAGATCGTTGTTTAAGGTTCGAACATAATCAATTTAGAGCAATACCATGAATTCCATACAAAGTAATTTTGAAAGTAAGATTAAAATGTATTCCAATAGGTGCTTCGTTTTGATCTTTGGATGAGGCGACATCTTTAAGAAAAGAAAGTACGGCTGTAGATTTCGTTTTTCGAAACCCATGTTGGCAATCTGACAACGCGACGTGTTTACTAACAAAGGTTTCCATTCGTACGTAAAAAAGTCTCTCAAACATTTTCGAAAAAAAGCTACGAATGAGAAATTGGCCGATGATTTCGAATTTCATTTTTGTATCTTTTTTGAAAAGTGGCTTAATCTTAGCTGTTTTAAAAATATCTGGATACATTGCTGTGCATGAAGATACATTAAATATATGAGTTAACGGGTGTATAATGTCGGGCGCACAAGTTTTAAGCAAACAATCCGGAAATTCACCTGTGTGTGTAGTGCCAAGTGTGTATATATATGTGTGTGTGTGTGTGTGTGTGTGTCCGAGATCACGGAAGTGCATGAGGGGATGGGGCTAATTGATGTATGTAATCGTTACCATTTTATCACTTGTATTTCACGAGATATTGAGGTAACTTTGTTTTTCAAAATGGAACTATACTTATTTTTAGTCTATCTAGGCGAGCGTAGTAAAACGAATCTATTGATATACAAGTCATGTTAGATACTGCGGTATATTAGATAAGCTGCCATTGCTTGTTCGTTATTATATAGGCGAACTAATTTATTGCTTTGAACTGATATTCTTCTCCAGGAAAAATGAGCTTTCGATGTGCAAGTTAATAATAAATAAGTTACGCATAAATAAATGTCCATCTATAAATGCTTTACCTGGATTAACAAGTTTGTGAGCTACTTCAAACGTAGCTCACAGTGGTGAACGTATGTTGTTGATAGACCTTTTTTTAATAATTTATTTTATGTACGCGCTTCTGCCCACTACAGCACAAGCAATATTCAATATTTATTTAGAATTTACGAATCTGGAGTCTATAATTTGGATCGTTGGGCCAGGTTGAATTGCTGTTTACTCGGTTGGTTGGAGAGCTCTGCCTTACTCAACCGTAGCAAATTAATCCACGTGAGACACTCACAATCCGTAAATTCACTTACAGCTAGTGATGCTATGCGTCTCTCGTTGTTGCATTGAGTCGTAATAGCGGACGGCGAAAAGTAAATATTTTGCATAGCGCCTGGTTGAAACTAAAGGTCGTGCGTGCATGAAGGAAATTGTAAAGTCTGAAAAGCAGCAAAACTCATAACGCATGTGTTAACAGTTGGGCGTTCTCGTGTCTCTGAGACACCGAAATTTCCCCGTTGTCCTGGAAACCTTGACAACTCGCACACATAAGCTTCCGCGGCTCGAATCCATAAATTCTTGGCTATCCTCACTGCCCTAAGGAAGCCTGCGACATGTCAGAGGAAACGTCGTCCTGTCAGCCAACGACGCGTCTACCGGGTAGCCAAGAATTTAACCTTGACAACTCGTTTCTTTCGTGTTCCTGGTATTATCCAAGAGAGCTGCACCTCACTCCATGCATATATCTACGTTTTCCATTCGTTTAGTTCAAATATGAGACGATGTAGAGTTAAATGGAGTCCATCCATACTTGAAGCTGTTGCCGGCGTCGGTAAATGGAATGGACCCATGTGCGAGCAAGGAGTAGAGTTCCTTGAAGCGACCATAGATGACAATGTCTGGCCGCTTCTGAATTAGGCGGTGGCGGTGTCCGTATGTTACTACGCCGTGGGGTCCACCTTGCCCTAAAGCCGGACGTGGGGTAAGTGGAGGGCCGGCCTACGTCGCTCATTTTGTTAGAAACCGTCGAACTCTTGCGGTGTGTAATGGCGAGGCGCGCATTTAAGCTAGTGTGGCGGCGTTCGGATTGTGTGACCGCTTGTTGTGACACCCCGACGTACTGCCGGTGCTTCGTTGAGTGACCAGTTCCTTCACTGCCTGGAAGTTATTCAAGCAGAGGGCCACTAGCAGTGCCGGTCCGTCCACATGGGACGCTTTTTCTGCGCTCGCGATTAACTTTAGATAAAGGTAAATTTATTTGAACTACAAATAGGCATAACCCGGTTGCAGCTACTTACGTAAATAAGATAATATAGCTAACATACCAATTATATAATAGTAATGGAACAATAATAATCATAGAAACAATAAAAACTGCTCATAAAAAACGATAATAACAATAATAAATGATAATAACAATAATAATATTAATAATAAACATAATGATTAAAAAATGTCTATTCTTATAAAACATTAAATTACGTAAAGAAAAAGAAATGTCTTTAATCTAACTCCGCACTGAATGTTTCTTCAATTAAGACCACACCGCACCGCACTTCACTTCACTTCACTTCACTTCACTTCACTATGACCCTTTAATCCCTTCCTTCATTATTTCTCCGTTCTACACGGCACGATACCTCACTTCACAATATATCACTTACGCATCGCTCTATAACCTACTATTCTCAGTTAAGTCCGTCATTTATATAGTAATGCCCTAAATTAATTTCCTAAACTGTTGAACGCTACGAAGAAAGGGTTCAAATATTTTTGCTGGCAATCTATTCCATTCCGTTGTCGTTCGATTTGTGAAAGAAAATTCCCCGACATCCGTCCTCTGCGGTCTTAAATTTATTATGTGACTGTGATCCCCCCTACTGATATATGTAGGACTATTAATTTATTTCCAAGCTTGATTACCACTATAAGCTTTATACAAAGCGCAGAGTCTTGCTACTGATCGCCTCTTTTGGCGGTACGGATCGTATAACAAATGATGCTATAATATAAATAGAAACACAAAAATGTTGACTTCATATGTGAACTGTACAATATTTGTACAAGAGATTATTTAAAGAAATCTTTATATTTGGAATTTTTACGCGGGAAGTAAATAAATGTGTACACTTTTGTTCTCATCGCCTGTAGGTTGAGTATATAGCTTTGCGAACTTCGGAGTATTAAGATGACATCGTTTACTTTTCGTATGTCAAGTTTGAGCATTATGACTTATATTCGCTTGAGTTTTGTCAACATCAACATGCTTGCCCCACTCTTCGTTTGCACATGAAAAGTAGAGTCTTTCGTAATACATATTTATGATCTAAATATGTACGAAAAAACTGAAATTAGACTATCAGCACATTGTCGTTTTATGGTTTTTCCCTAGCGGAGTGTTAACAGTGGGTTGAGCCATTCAAAAGCAGTAAAATACGCATGCAGGATGAGAAAACAGGAAGATGTTCAGCTTCATTCACGACCAATTATTGAGCAATTTCGGGCCTTGATTCTGAATAACCGATTAGTGGCTATTGAAGAAGTGGCATGTCAATAATGTCCTACAATCAACGCCGTGATGGATTGTTGAAAGACATTCTTGAATGACAAGATGCGCGTCCTCATTCCGCTGCTCAATCTCTACTTCTCTGTGTTTCGTGGTGTCAGCATCCCGGATACTGTTCCAATCTTGTGACGTCTAATCACCGACTGTTTGGTCAGCTTAGAAATGTTTTAAGGCCTAAGATTCGTTTCGCTTGCTGTTGAGGAAGCAGTACATGTATGTCTTTAATCGAAAACTATTTTTCTGATGGTATCGGAAGGATGGTGCTATTATGGACCAAGTTCATTGAAAAGCATAACGCCAATATTGAAAAATGGTTTCATTGGAATTTGTTCTGTTGTATTACCCTACTATTTTATGTTGCAGCTTTTGTGTTCAGATTTTAATCAGATTTTATTTTCTTGCAGATTACTGAACGCTAATGAGATATCCTGTATTCGAAGAGACACGTTTAAAGATCTACACAGCCTAAATTTATTGTAAGTATAATGTTTTCCTGATTTTTTAAAAATACATTTTCAGTAGCCTGAACCTCATTTGGATAACTACATAGATATAGATAGATGCAATTCTGCTTTTAGTATCAAAATTTGCCGATAGTATTTTACTGAATATACTATTCTTCGTACACTCTAAGAAAAACTTGGATGTAAACTATAGCACGTGCTATGGGATGCTTGCCATCGGTTAGTTAACGCGATACAGCCTTAGACGTGTTCATGTGCCGAAGAAAATAGTTTTCGATATAGTGGCTCATTTCTCTCACTACGTTAAAATTGCTGACGAAACTTACAATCTAAAACTCAGAGTCCAAAATAAGGAGACCATTGTTCCCATGCCAGTTCTTCAAGAAGAGGAGATATCAATGTCGGTGACAGTTATGTGCCCAGCGCCTGCTTGGTACGAGCCCTAGCGGAAAAAATGAACTAAGGACAAGAGGCGAACTGAACTCCACGCACTTGTAGTAGTAACTGGATCTGTTGATTTCTTAAGAACTGATACCAGACGAAGGTTGGGTCACGCACGGTGGTAGGCAGTATACTCATGGGAAGCAAGGCAGTTCAGATTTTTTTGTCAAATACTTCAAACGTTCACTTGAAGATGTCTGAGAGCGGTGTAGGTCCTTCCATCTGGATTTTTCATCGTTTGGCAAAAAACGTCCAAAAAATTAAAATTGAGTAATAAAAAATTACAAAAAGTTTCAACGTTTCTTGTCTGATGTTCTTTCGGGCTATGGTTACTACCCGAGACTTCTGTATTGCAGAACATATTCCGAATGCTCTGAAAGGAGTTGTTGATGTTTCTGAGTGCAGTACATTTTTTCAATGTATCAGGTAGCTTATTAAAAATATGTACGTTTGCGAGGTTCTATTCTAAAACATCTCCTTCCATTCTTATACATTTATTTTAAAATATAATTTTGTGGTTTAAATTATTCTTAGCGTAGTTATCGTCTATGATACCTATCCTACGGGGCTGGCGAACCTTTTCCGTCCGAGTGACTCAAGAAGTCCTGTACCGCCTACTCTAAACAGTGGCGTATGGCCGATACAATTTCTAGTGACCTGTAACATTCATCGTCTGGGCGCAGTTGGCAGCCTCATTGTTATCACCTTGTGCTGTCATCACTTCTTTGCGAAGCCCTGTGGGCGGTTTTTTGGTATGGTAGTGGCGAGTTGAGTGGTTCGAAAGTGACTGCCGAGGATGAATGCAAGACCCTGTTTCTTGTTAGTCGTGCATTGGAAGTGCATTTTAGTTGTGCTTCTTAGTCCCGTGTTTCCGAAATGTGCTGTTTCTCTGAGGAAAATTACAATGCTCCTTTCTCCATGGATGAATTTTCCTGTGCCCTCGCTTGTGCAAAATATTCTGCTCCAGGACCAGAACAGATACATAATCAAAATCTTAAACACCTACCGCAAAATGCTAGTTCTTTCCTCCGCATTTTAAATTTGATTTGGGATGAACATTCCTTATCAAAGATTTGCGTGAAGCTATTGTCATTCCAATCCCTAAAGAAAGAAAGAAAGGGCGGAACAATCCCTTCAAGTTACCTCCCAATCTTGCTCGCAAGCTTCTAGAACGAATGATAAACAAACATCTGGTTTGCCTCCTAGAGCAAAGGGATGTATTTACATCTTTTCAGTGTGGTTTCAGGAAGCACAGGTCAACCATGGGCCACTTAGTCTCCTTTGCCACTCAGATACCCACTTCTTTCGTGCTACGACCTGGTAGCAATTTTCTTGCCTCCCTTCGTTTCTGGTAGATTTGTTTCGTCAAATTCTTTCCGCGACCGCCTTGGTAACATGTTATCTTCAAGTTACGAGTTAGAATGCGTTGTTTCCCAGGGATCAATTCTGAGTGTCCTTCTATTTGCCATGCTATCAATAGTATCGCATCAGTAATTCGAGAGCCGCTGAAAGCATTGCTCTTCGTTGACGACATTGGTATATGCTTCTCCTCGAAGAGCACGCAAATTGTTGAGAGGGAGTTACGGCTTGTCCTCAACAAATGGCAAGAATGGAGCGATAAAACTTGATTCCAGTTCTTCACCTCAAAATCCAATTGCATGCACTTATGTAGAATATATCACTTCCATAATCATCCTGATCTTTTTTGGGCGAGTCATCAACTTTCCTTCGTCGAATCTGCCACTTTCCTTGGTCTGACATTCGACAAGAGTTTAACATGGCGAAAACACATTCCAAACTTGAGCGACTGTGAATCACCATTGAACCTCCTTCGCACAGTTACTAGCAGATCATGGGGCGCATAAATATGCCTTTTGCGCCTATATAGGACTGTCGTCCGTCCTATCTTAGATTGTGGATGTATTTTTTATGGGTCAGCTTCTCCACCCTGTCACTGAATACCATACACAGTGCCGGTATACGGATCAGCGCAGGCGCCTACCGCACGAGTCGCATTGAATGCTTCCTGGCCGAGGTTGTCGACCCATCCCTGAGCCGAAGGCGAGATATTGTATTCGGCTCCTATGGTCCGAAAGTACCAGTTATAAATACCCCTTCGCGTCAAGCAGTTCTTCACCCGTCACAGGACATCGTACAAACTCAGACCATCGGTACCCCATCCTCCGGGTATCTATCTCAATACGCTGTTGCAGAAACTCTATATAAAACTCCCCATCCCTGTTAACTCCCCTCCCCCCGAAATCTTATTCCTCCTTGAAAGCTTCTAAGAACCGAAATAGATCTGAAATTATCACACTTCCCCAAATCCTCATCTCCTCCAGTACATTTCTGGCGGAATTCCAAGATGAAATCTATGTATCCCGGCTATAACTTCATATACACTGATGGTTCCACCCAGAATGGTTATGTAGGGTGTGCCTTATACTGCCACAGTGCCGTGCGGAGTCTTCAAATAGACTCTTCGTGCAGCGCTTATACTGCAGAAAAATATGCGCTCGTGGTTCTCTGAATCGTTGGCATTAAAAGAAGCTGTGATCTGCAGTGATTCAAAAAGCTCGCTCGAATCTATTTCCTCCTTCTCTTCTTATGACCTTCAGACAATGAACATCGAACACCAAATCCATAATTTATTGGTTTGTCGTTATAATTTTTTGTTGGTCATATTGGGATAATAGGGAACGAAATTGCTGACCAGACAGCAAAGCTCATCACACTGAAAACTGAGATAGACATATAATAATAATAATAATAATAATAATAATAATAATAATAATAATACATGTGAAGAAATAATTGTAAAAATGTCGGGCAAATATAAGAATATACAAACAAATTTACATTTTGTTTCTTCTTTAGAGTTCGTTTTACGAAGTAGGTGCGCAGTAGTGTTACAGCTCCTGAAAGTCGTTCACTCTTCAAAGAAATCACACTCCACTCATGAAATTTGCAGAAATCCTTAGAATCACTATATGATGAGTAAATTTATGAAATACTGCTACTTTTCTGTCATGTTTCCTTTCGTTTGACTAAGCTTAATATGGAATTGCCCTTCTCGCATATACAAGAGAGGGCTCTGGGGGACCCACGTGTACAGTTGATATATCAATGAGATATCGGTACACTCGACAACCATTAAAATGCAGATGGTGGCTGGTGTGCGCAGACTTCTCATGCGATCTTAATCACGTATTTAGACACTATTCAACGCATCCTTACAATTGGCATTAATTTTAGCCATTCTTCTTGGGCTTAGTAATTTTCACAAGTGGCGTCGCATAGTCTCCCAGATTTTAAATTTTATGTATTGTGTTCGTAGTGAAGTCAAATTCGTAGTGAAATTTTATTCATTGTTATTCTGTTACAGGTCGCTGTATGACAACAATATTCAGTCATTGGCTAATGGTACTTTTGACTTTTTGAAAAGCATTCAAACACTGTGAGTATAATTATTGAAGTATTTAGAATAATATGTACAAACAAGAATAAATAAGTTGGTTGTTTCAACAATATACAATTAGGACATATTAAGACAGTTTCCCATATACAAGCACGTAAAATCCAACTTCTAAGTATAGCCGTAGTATTTAGTAATAGTCGTAATCCCAGTACAACTTCTCGACAGTCCTATAGCATACTTAGGAACGGCACTGTTCAAAGGCACTAGTTCTCTCTCACTCAAGATGCTGCACTCAGAATCCAGTTACCACACTCTCTGAACGGAGGTACCCCACTCTCTGAACTGGTTACTAACTTCAAAGAGGAATAGAAACGAGAGACGGGCGCATTGGGCCAGAAAGATGTAATTCGTGACGTCATTAGCCAGATGTTCACGTAACCCCCAGCGTAGCGCCACAATCACACACGACTTTCAAAATTGTCCTTAGCAACCTTCAGCTATGAAAATTATTAACTATTATTATTAATTATTCTAATTGGCCGTGTTAAATCTAGGACCAGTACAAAAACAATTTTAAAAAGTATTAGGAGTTTTGTGTACTCTAGGATGTGGGTAGTGTTGTACTGCTGAAATTAACAACAATATACACATTTTAATACCACTATTATTTATTTTACCTTATTTTAATTACAAATTAGTTTTTAATTTTGCAGTCCTGAAAGGCAACACATTACATAACATTATAATAGTATTGAAAAATTAATATAATTTAAATCGTTCCAAAACCACTAATATACAACATCAAACTTAGAACTCAAGTCTGATATGCAATAGGATCTTTAGATATGTGATGGGAAATTTATTTCAAAACATAAGTTGGTACCGAGTGAGAGAAGTTACGTCCCGTGAAAAGAATATCTCAATGATTAAAAAAAAATTTTGTCCGTAATCCAAAATAAAATATGCAGAAAATATGTTCAAAAGATACTACATACACTTATATAACATATATTGTATACTAAAACAAAATAAATATAATGAAATAAATTTAACAACCTACGAAGAAAAGTGGAAAACACCAGAGAAACAAGAGATCTCAGTAGAAATAATTAAAGTAATTCAGAGCGTTTGCCTGAATTCACACAAAAGAGAAATATATAATATTGTGGCGTTATGGGATTGTGCAACCCCATAACACCACCGTCTCATGTGTGAACACTACAGAAGC